AGTTAGATATCAAATCCGTAATTGTTTGATCCCTCTAACTTGTGAAGCAATTAGGGTTAATAATTCGCTGCGTCAGGAATTAGTAATCTTAAGAAGAACATTCAACTAAATTAAATACAACCGCTTGTGTTTGTGTTGTTTAGCTTCATCGATTTCTCTAATTCTTAAGGCTGCCACTAGATTAAATCTTGAGCGCTTGTCTAGGGTTGTTTAGTGGTAAGATTAATTAAGATCGCTTGTTTCTTGATTAATTACAATTAAGGAGAGATAGGAAAATAGTTCCAACGGTGAATATTCAGGTATGGATTGATTTAATTTTGCATCAATGATGAGTTGTAAGATTCCGATGGTGGATGTTGTCTGAGACCAAGTTTTGTTATATTAATTGATTTCGATTTAAATTGTTTTTGTTTTGATTTTTGCTAAAACTGTTTTCTGTTTCACTCAAACCCCCCCAGCCTTGTTCACATCATTGAAAATTCGGCTAGACACTCTTCGTGGGATCGACCCTTGCTTACCCTATTTACAGTTTAGTAGTTAGGTTAGAAAGGTTATTAATCTTGGTTGCCTACGACAGCACACCATGAGCCCCCTCCGTTATGCACATTGATGCGCGAAGTTGAGTCATGATGGCTAGGCTGGTAGGTGTTATCATGCTCGTCGGTGCGTTGCTTGCGATGTTGGTTATAACTAGAATGTCGATCATTGCCAAATTGGTGCACATGACTTGTCTCGCGAGCTTGCGAGGATCGAGCTTGCCTTGGGCATGGGTTAAAACTGGCATGCTAACACTAGGGATACCGCCAATCAAGTCAAGCGCCTCGTGGGTGACCATTACCTTTGCTTTCCCCCATTGGTTGTTTCCTTGGTCGTCTTTCGGGGTTTGTTTGCCCACGAGATTCACGCTCGTGAGCGGAGTGTGCTTTGTGACGTCGAGGGTGCCAGTCGTCCCTTGGTGTTGATGAGCCAGACTGGTCACCAGCCGAATTTTGACCTGTTGGGGTGATATCAGTGAAGCGTGGCTAGTCAAGGTTTTGTGTGGTTGGTTGCTAATTTCTCAGCTCAGCCATATTCTGTTGCACTGCCTGTGCAACCATTATTCTGTTCATTTCCACCAGTTAGCCACTCTCAGGGTTTGACGTCCCCACTCCCTAGTTATTCGTGGTTTGTTGAGTCGACGGCAGTGGTGGTCAACGCCCAGCGGCGTCTTGTTACACCTCCTGCTGGGTGGTCTCCACATTGTCATGGTTTTCGGTGGTGGTTTTCGATCTTGTACGCACCATTATGGGCCTGGAGTGATTAAATCGTTGTGGTTGTTTGCCAGAATTTCTAAGATTTTGGCGAAGGCCTTCCTTCTAGCGCCAAAATGTTGATACAAGATTTTGCACCAACTAGAGTGATCTGATCAACCTTGACGGGATCGAAATTGAAGTGTGCGTGATTACAGGTAACAAGCAGTGAGTAAATAATAATTGTAGTAAAGTAAATGGCAAAGAAATTTTTAAAGTGGTTCGGCGAGTTGAACTCTTGAGCTTAAGTCCACTGTTATTGTATTCGCTGTCAGAGCTTACAATGACAATCCTAGAAATGTTTTCTAACCCCTTTCTCATCGTTAAAGGGAGATTATATACAGCGTTTGTACAAAAGAAATAGTGAAAATAAAGCGATTACAATTAAATTTGAAATGCAACCCCGATATTCTCGCGATTGGGTGTTATGATTGTGCAAAGATTGTTGTCAATCTGATCTTTCCTAAGATATTTGGGATATGAAGTTATCTATGAATTAGTTGAAAGACTGTAAGGATTGGTCACGACTAGCTTGTGTTAGGTTAAACTACAACTCAACGAGCTTATGCTAGATCAGACAATCAATTAAATTGAACTGATTCTAGATCGAGCTATTACCTTAACTCTCCAAGCTTGATGGATATTCTTATCAAATATTGTTTCTTAATGTTTAAGTGTGAATTCTCTTTAAAGTTGCGGCAAAAGGAGGGATGACAAGACAATGATAAGATATTATACGACAAGATGTCTCTAGAATTAAAACAAACAAAAATAAGATGATTAAAAAGTGAAGTATTAATCGGGCAGAAGAATAATAATAATAATAGTGATGAAGATTTTGTGTTAAGTACAAATTGACAAATTGACGATGGCATTAATGAACATTCATTATTGCGGATCTTGGATCTCCCCCCCCCCCCAAAAAAAAGGGTTAACTTTATGATTAATTCTCTAATTAAGTTGATGATTTAAAGCTTAAAATCCCACGTGCTAATTAGATTAATTTGTAATTAGAGAGGTGGAAAGTTAAGTAGTTAAGATCCTATATTATTAATGAATCTTTGAAGGTCAGTTGGAAGGTAAGGTCAGCTAAGGAATTCACACTGCAAATCTCCTCCACCTTTGAATTTAAACGTTCTAGTCCTGCAAATTACTTCACATTCCAATTTAGATTATCTAGAACATCAAAATTAATATGTTTATATAATCAAGATTTGAGAGCCAATGTGAACTATAATTAGGTTCATATCTTCATTTACACGATTAACATCTTCTCTTTCACACATTTAGAAGAATTAAGAGTTTGCTTATTCGAACTCTCACTCCGAATAGATAGAAAGACAATTGCTTTTGTAGAAAGAACTAAAACCTATAAATAATTCAGCCTAACTTTTTTTTTCTTTTGTAACTAAGGTATTCGAATTATTTTTTGCTTACCTTAACTAATCCTTAGAGTTTATTTAACACCTTACAAGCCTAAAAGACTTAGTAAATTAACCTAACTTTTTCTTTTAGTTTTATATTAACCCACCTAAATTAATATAATTGTTAACTACATTGGGTGGGATTATTTCCACCCAATAATTACAATTAAATAACTCTTTAATTTACACCAGTTTTCTATGTACAACCATTATTAACATTTTAAATTACTTCATACATTTTTCATAAAAGTAATATTACACTTATAAACTTTTATATTAATTTTCTCCTACAAACTGATGTGACAATCTTATATGTTTGTCTTGTAATTTATATATTTCACCAATAATTATATTAAATGTTTATGAAAAAAAAAATTCTAAAATTTTAAAACTAATATATAGAATGTGAACCCTCATAATTATCGTTTATAGGAACCTCTAGCATAAAATGGATGCAATTAGGTGAAATAAAGTGTAAAGATATTGAAAAATATTAGTAGCAATTAAATTAAAGGAGGCAACAACCTCGATATCCTTTCTTTCTATAGTGTGTTAAAAAAATGATATGGAAAAAGAGAAAAGTGCAAGAGGCAACTGGTTTCGGTCGGTTGACTAAGCGCCGACTTCGGCAGATTCTAAACTTTTTTAATGGGATCCACATTAGGTCCACTTCTTCTTTAATCTTTCATCACCATTAATCTAATTTCTCTGTAGCTCTGCTCAATGATGGTCATCCATTACATTACAAAACTCCATCGCTGCTTCTCACACTAATGCCCTTTTTTCCATTTTATATTAGTCATTTCATAAGCTACTCGACAAAGTTTATCTCATTGTTTATCACCCGTAAATGACTGCCAGTTAAATGAAAAAAAAAAAATGAATAGCAAATATGTCGCCATCTGCATATTCTAGGACCCATTTACCACTTCATGACCTTCCAACATCAATTATATTAATATACTTAGACGATGAAAGTGCATTGAATTTTTTAAGGTGACGACTACGAGGTCAAAACGTTTAGTTCTTTTTTTTTTTTTGGTATTTTTTCTTGACATTAAACTTCTTGCAAACAAAGAAATTGAATTGATAAATTAATCCCGCTCACTCATGATTCAATGACCTAATTCTGTATATTTTTATGATTTACCGAGTTAATTCCTCGAACTGACTTGAACATTTATTAGAAAAACTAAGCACCTGACAACAAAATTCCTGTTACTAATCTGTGTCTTGATTAATTAACAAAAAAATGGAGCAATGCAATCTCACCAACATAATTTATGTAAAAATGGGAATTGAAGGGTCGATGCAGATAATATTGATAATTTATTTTTGGAGTAAACCCACGCAAGGTTTGCCCTACTAACTTTCCCACCCAAAAAGTTTAAAAATACCATTTTTCCACCCAAAGTTTATATTTCGTTTACTATCCAGAATACACTTTCTGATTCGGCGACCAACGGAGAGAAAACACGGTCTAAGCTTTGGGTTTTTTGAAGAAGAGATGTCAATGAGTCTTTTGGTGGTAGCAGGATGGATTTTGGTGGTTAGGATTAGTCGGAAATTGACTTGGAAGAGACATTCGCGCGTTACACAAATCGCTTGATTGGTGAGATTGACGGGAGCAAGGTTTGAGAGGTTTTGGTAAGAGGTGATCCAGAAAGAGAGTGGTGGTGACGTGGGATTGCAAAGATGCCGGAATCGGCCGGCAATTGGTCGGAATATAAACTTTGGGTGGGAAAGTGATATTTTGAAACTTTTTTGATGGGAAAGTGTCATTAAGGCAAACCTTGGGTGAGAAGAGGTCGCTTACTCTTTATTTATGTTAATTCAAGTAAGTCCCATGAGAAACCCCATCGTCTTAAAGAAATGGGATGAGCATTGAGCAGAGAATACAATAGGACTTTATAATTAATATATATCCTCCAGGTTTTTCGTTAATAATATTTCAATTATATATGGACCACCACTTAAGTGTTAATGGGTTCTTGTGGATAACTTAAAATGATGGGATAAACTTGTTAAAACTTTTTAAGTCCAGACACAATATTATTATATTCATTCTAGGTAAAGCATCATTGAATATTATTCGTTAATATAATTTATTACGGATTACCGAAACTGGAACATGCTTTATATAATTTATTTACCAAAAGAAAAGTTACATAACTGAATCGAAACAGAATGATCGATCTCGATACTGCAAACAAACAACGCAAAACTGATACAAGTTCTACAAGTTTTTTTGTATAAATCACAGGCTTCGAATTTCTTGAAAAGGTTATTAATGGTGATGGGGATCAGGGCCTCCAGGACTCACTCGCTTGGAATCAAAAAACTTTCCGAGAATTTCTTGTCTTTTTACACTATCTTTGAGCATTTCCTTGGCGTTCTCCATCAACACACGACCCTCATCGTTTGAATATTGTTGGAATTCAAAATGCCTCTCAATGATCTTCTGTTTCAGCAAACTCGTCCTGGAAACTTCTTTCAGGCTCTCTGAAAATGCTGTATCGCTATCAAGAGGACGAGTTAGACAGGTTAAGAAGAGACCCGAAACCAAGAAAAGGCACAACAAAAACCTGAAGCTAAAGGCCATTTTTGCACTGAAGCTAGCTCTCAGAAGTCAGAAGCTGGCTTATAAATGTGAAGTGTATAATTTGAGAGCAAGAGTGAGTTGCTTTATATAGAGCTCGAACGTCCATCTCACTTTTGATATTAAATGTTATAAGTGTCTGAATTGGATCACTGAACCTTTATTTTAACTTTAGTGCTCAATCGATTCCCATTCCTTTCTGCAGCCAGTCAAATCAGCTTAGGATTGACAACACGACATTAAGATTAATTAACCGACTTTATTATAAGTTTCTCTGCTGAAATTAATGCTATTCTCAGTTGGGGTTTAAATTGTGATGATCATGATTAAAAGCATTTTGAAATTTAATAGAAGGTAAGACTGAGAATGAGATGGTCGCCATCGAAAGGAGGCGGCGTCTGAATCTGAACTGTATATTTTGCCACATGTTTATTTCTTTGCTGTCTCTCTCATTTTGAATGAGCTAAGATTATATTTAAACTGGCCCCATTTCGACCGCAATATATTTTCCCTTTTTGTTTTGTCTGTGTTCACGTAAATATGAAGCAAAGTATATCCCTTGATCCAACTCTTAATTAACATCTTCATTCTATCCCTTAATCCAACTCTTAATTAACATCTTCATTCTATCCCTTAATCCAACTCTTAATTAACATCTTCATGCTTTCTCTTAATCCTTAATCCCCGAGGACACCAACTCTGTGGAAAGTTTTCAATTTAAAGTTCATCTTCAATTCTCCCTTCATATTAGCTTCGATGTTTAATAGTAAATTTAAAGAAAATTGTAACTTAAGTTTCGTCTATCTGTTACTTAAGACTCGTCGTTAAACAGTTCACATACTTTTAATGTTGAAATACTTATTCTTGTATGATACAGAAAAGGTATATCTTGACGCTACTTATTGTTGAACAATTTTTCGACCTAACCCACATAGTGACTAGTGGGGGCTCCACTAAAAAAATTATTTATTTGTTTTTGTTTTGACTAAGTTGTAATAGTTTTAATATTCTTTAGATTTGATCTCGCTCATTTACTTTTCCCTTATATATATTTTTGGTGAGTTATAATATCATTTGACTTTATTTTTCTAAAATTATAACAAAATTATTTGACTTCACCCTTTTTTAACTCTTGGGTCTATTTTTGCTTTCGGTATTGTAAGACTTACTCCGGTGTTATGCAAAAAAAGACATTCCAACACCAAACTAGCGTCGAGAAAGGTCTTTTCATGCTAAAAACATTTTCCAACTCAACTGTACGTCAATTATTAGATTAGATTGGTTTGGATTGGATTAAGAGGAGAGTAATCCGTTTAACCTTTTTAACTTCCTTTCTCATTGATTAATCTTCTATTATATAATATTAAACAAGGTAGTTAATTAGCTTTTGTTTTCCCTCTCTAATATTCTACACCTTTATCTTAACACTTTCCAATGAGAACACTTATATGTGGAGTAGTAAACCCACCCAGTCAGCATAATCTTTTATGCACCAATAATAATAATACGTTCACACTTATTTATGTATTTAATTACGCAAAAAATATCAAAGTTTTAACTCTCAATTTCACATGGAATTTCAACAAGTTTTTGGTTTATTATATTTTCCATTTATTTAATCAAGTAGATTCTGTATTATAATATAAGCACTTTATTTTGATATATAGCCGCCGCCCAATTGTAAAATAATAAACTAATATAGTCAAAACTTGAATTAATGGGTAGATTATATAATCTGGGTTATTAATTTCACGAATCATCTGAAGTATATATAATTAGTCAATAAGCACAAAACAAAAAAGCTAGATTTATGTTGTATGACTGTAAAGAAATGACCTCTTCATCTCTAAAGTTGAAGATGATTTATCCTTCTATTGGTTTCTCTTACGTGGTACATCATCTCAAAGGATAATTAATCAGATCCCATAAAATCATTTGTAATTATTTGGGTATGAGTTGTAATTAAGAGATGATTAGTCCATGTTTAGCTTAGTGCCCGCCGCCAGTTAATCACCCTTTCTTGTCTTCTTCAATAATCCAAAATTTCACCAAGCATATGAAGTGGAATTAAATCTTATTTTATCAAAGTTTTATTAAGTAATTGCATGTTTTTAATTTTCAAAACCTATATTTACATATATAGATAATTGGGAGAATATCACAGAATTCCTAAACAATTTTGAATTTATTATTCGAATAATGATTTTCGTACTTTTTATCAAACGAACCCTCAAATTCTGAAAAATGTATCACCGATATCTATTTGTCTTTAAATGGACCATCAAAGTTTAAATAATTTATAATTGATAATTGTTTGCTCTAACTCTATTACACGGTCATTAGGTTTACAAAACACTTTCTTATAAGATTGAAGTTATCGTTTTACCCTAAAACTTTCTTATAAGACCAAAGTTACCATTTTACCCATTTCACACTAACAAAAACATATCAAACTAAGACAAACAGATATCAGTTTGAGGGTGCATTTGATAAAAAAAAATAATAATAATACAAAAATTGTCCTTAAAATGATAAATTTGAAAACCTTAAAGGTGATCTATGAGATTTTTCCTATATAATCTTAAATTTTTTATATAAATATAAAACTTTATATGGTGTGAAGAAGTATGGATCTACCACTATTTGACACCTTTCATCATACCATTTCCACCTCTTGACACAAGGCAAAATGTGGCAACAATTTATGGCACCTAGTAGACCTAGCAAAACGAGTCTAGACTCGCGGGTCGGCCTATACCCAGGTAAATAATATAGGGTACAGGTCTGCATATTTGGGCCCTCTTTTTGGACCTGTACCTAGCCCTACCCGTTTTGTTTACGAGCAAACCGGGTACACCCACAGGTACCCATTTGTAATTTTTTTTTTTTTAAAAACCCTAATTCTTCTCCAAACCACAAGCCGCCTCCTCTTCTCTTTAGTCTCTCCTTTTATTCTCTGTGATCTCTCTTAATTCTTCTCCATCTTTGCCAATAGTTTGATTTCTCATGGGTTTTATTTGTATGATTCGATTTGGTCTATAAACGTTTGATCTCTTCATTATATATCTTTTTTCTTAACGTTAGGCTAGTTGGAGTTCAAGATTAGAAGGGTTGAATTTTTTTTGTTTTGGGGATGATTACTAGAAAACCTTGCGATTCGCTATTAAAAGTTGTTGTCGTACCTTCAAGTGAGACCACAACGACGACTTGAAGCAAGGGCATCGTTGTGACTTCAAACAATGCGAAGGCAACGACTTCAAGCCAAGGATGTTGGATGATGATTGTGACATTGGTGGTGTTAGTAGGGGGTTTGGGTATTTCATTATTTTGTTAATGATTTGATATTGGTTTTGATTTTGAGATTATTCTTTATTTGGGTTTCTTGCTTTTAATTTGAAGTGTTTAAGGGATAGGGAATGATGATGGTGGTTGAAATGGCAGTAGTGAATAGTGATCTGCGATGGTTTGTTGAAAGCTTGAAATCGAGAATGGTGTTCTTGGAGTGTGTTGGAGACAAGAAGGGGATTGTTTGGTGGATAGGATGAGGGATGTTTGGTGAATAGATTAGAGGTTGTTTGGTGGGTTGGATAGAGGTTGTTTGGGTGAATGGGGTATGATTGTAAAAATTAAAAATGTATAAATTGTGGGGGTTTAATTGTAAAATTGAAAACTAAAGTGAACAGTGCGGGCACTCGCGGGTCACCAATACCCGCATAGGGTAGGGTGTAGGTCCAATATTTTGGACTCATTTAGATCGACCTGTTTTGGGCCCGTATCCGTGAGACCCACACCTGTTTGAACCCATTCATACTCAGCCCACCCCCCTGTTTTGCCAGGTCTAGCACCTCGCAACTAAATGGCAAGTTTTGATTAGTTTGGGAAGTGGCAATTATTACTATATAAACCCTTCCCTCCTTTGTAATTTAAGAGCACTAATATGAGAGATAATAAATTTCAGCCCCTTCAATAGTCCCTTATCTTTAATTTGCTATGCATTAGTCTTTATATTGTTTTATATTTCATAATTAGTTTACAACACGTTATCAGCACAAAAAGCTTAACAAGTGTAACGTTGCACCCCTATTGAAAGTATGTACTTCGATCCTACATGTGTTCTTTAATCTATGTTTCCACCTTAATGACTGAATTTATTTATTACTATTAAATTCCACCTCTATGGTCATATTTATTTATTGTTGTTAAATTTTGCCTCTATGGTTGGATCTATTTATTATTATTAAATTCCACCTATATGGTTGTATCTATTTATTATTTATTATTGTTGAATATCGCCTTTATGGTCGGATCTATTTATTCTTATTGAATATAACCTTTATGACTGGATCTATTTTTAATGTATTTTCGATAACCAACGTTAGTAATTGTGCTTTTATCTTATATATGATAAATGAACTTAAGGTTTCATAAATAAATATTGGTTTAGAACTTGAAGTTCTAAATACTTATTACAAGCATGAAGTTTGTAAAATAGAGACAAAAAATAGACCTGAAGTTCCATATCATGAAGATGAAGTTCTGTAAACATCCTTACTAATTTAATTTTTTTTTAAGGATGGACTTCGAAACTGAGGCATCGGTATCTAGTAATGGTGGAGAAATTTGTATAGTAGACAATGCAACAACGTACACCATCCTTCAGGATAGAAAATATTTCTCATGTTTGACCTTTACTGAGGCTAAAATAAATACCATATCAAGATCTGCAAACATAATTGAGGGCTCCGGAAGAGAAATACTCTTGTTACCAAGTGGAACTAAATTAAGTATCTATGATGCTTTGTATTCTAGCATATCCTGAAGAAATTTGCTTAGTTTCAAAGATATACAATTCAATGGATACCACATTGAAACTTTAAGTGAAAAGTATAGAGAGTTTTTATGCATCACTACTAATATTTCATGCTAGAAGCATGTATTGGAGAAACTCTCTGCTTTCTCATCAGAGTTATATTACACATTCTTGAAGAATGTTGAAGTCTATA